CAGATATCACTCATTGTGGTGCTTATTAACAATCAAATATAGGCTTTTGATACTATTCTTTTGGCACACCAGTGCAGTAGCTATAATGTCCCCCATAAACAAATTATGACTATTGAAGCTTCCTATCTAACTTATGACATCAAACACTCTTTTTATGATGTCATGCATTTTGTTAGGGTCCCATAATTTGATTACATACATATATCTGTACTTGGTCTGAAACAAAGTTTTCAACAGAGAAATTTAGCTAGATATCCCTTTCATTTAGTTTGAACAATTACCAAGTTACAAAAAGCATACAAAGTAGGGATGGGTGGAATGATGGCCACATTCACTTTGAGGTTGCACTGTGTCAAAAACCACCAAGTGTTGTAATGTTACTCCACCCATTCCTACCTTGTTTTCTTACTTTTTGGTGCTCCCATTCCTACTTCCTAATTTTCTATTTAAAATTTTTTACGCTTGTCTATATATATATGTATATACAGACACACACTTTATTTTTTGTACTTTATGTTTGGTATTTATCTTTTTTAAAATTTAACATAAAGATATTTGATTTTTTTGCAAAAAAAGATGGATCTTTTTTTAATTGACAAAGTAAACATGTTTTTTGGGAATTGGTTTGTTTGTTAAAATTAATGAGCAGCATTAGGAATGCTTTAGAGAACAAACTGTTTAAATGGTTCAAAGCAGTATTTGTTGGTAAAACAATTAAAAGGGATCTACTTGTTTTTTCAAAGATTTAACATCACCTTTTTTTAAACAGGAATACAGCACCTGCTGTAGCTTTAGTAAAAAAAATGGTAGCTGTGTTAGAATCAATTGAAAAATTGCCCGTGTATTTATACGACACTCCAGGATCAGGATATGGCCTTCAGGTATGAATTTTTTATGTATATTTCAAGGAGTTCAATTTGTAATGTCAATTTTGATTGTAAATTAATAGCTTATCCTGATAAATTTTACATTATTTTTTCCTTTAAACATCTTTATATTGAGGTATGGTACACTGCACTTGGTGCATGCTAGGTAATGAAAAATTTAAATTCCATCCCATAACTTTATTTTGCCCTGAAATATCATTTGGTATCCATTTTGTAACAAATAATTGTTAAACATTTTAGTTTCTGACAAATTTTTGATGCATTCATGTCAATATAATCGGAAAATAATTCATATTTATCCAGAAAAGTGCTATAGTAAAATTGTTCTTTTCACAGAATAGTACAGTAAATTAGTGTTATCATATTTTTTTATACTTGACACTTAAAAAGTTTGTGTGATGACATCAAATTCACTCAAGTTTTAACTGTTATGGCTAAAGCAATAGGAGATCAATTCATCAAAAGTCAATCTAGAATTGCTTGTAAAACCTAAAAGGATGGGTTTTTATAAAGTTTGAATTTGGTTCCATTGAAGTTTGTTTTATTTAAGTATGCAACCAAAATGTGAAGACCAAGAAGTGAAACACTTGTATTCAGATGTAGACCTTGGTATCACTATCTTTGTTATTGTTTGTTAGTGAACAGTGTTGAGATAGTAATACGCAGAACCAGACGTTATCAGTCAACAGCATTATCAAATGAAAGAGACGCATCAGATTTATTTTTTTCATTTTGTATGTGTTTCACAAGATTTAAGTTATAATTTTTTGTAGTGACTGCTCTTCTCTTTTTTCTTGAGTTGGGTTACTGTACACATGAAAATTACCTAGATTTCCATGTATCTATATTCCTTAAAAAAGATTACTTTTTAGATTATTGCAGATCCAAGGAGAAATTTTGGTGGGATAGGGTTAAGGATATGTTTATCTATCAGTGCTTAACTAGGACCACAGCAGAAGGTGGTCGTACATTTATTACACTATATCAAAACACGTGCTTCCCATACTTGATTAGTAATATTAACAATGCTGATAACAGCAGTTGTACATGCCAACAAATATAAACATGTTTGAGAAGCAGGTAGCACCGTGATGATGAAAGCCTAAACATCTTTTGTCAGTTGTCCTACTACAAATATATTTGGTAAGTGAGCAACAAGGAAAGAAAAAAAAGAAGGGGCTTCTGCCTTGTGGATGGAATACCTGCACCATTTGTAGAGCTGGATAATTAGTGGAATTTGATAATCAATTAATCATTGAGCTTATTATTTAATTCAACTAATTGAATTTTCTCACATGAGACTTGAATAGTTTGAATGATCAAAGTTTTAGTAATTAGAAACACTAATTTCAATTATTTAATTGTTTTCATAACAATCAATTTAACCATAATTTCAATTAACCAGATATTTTACACTATTTGATTTAATGGATGTTCACAGGTAATCAAGTTAATTTTGCAGCTCTACTCATTGACAATGTTTCTTACTGGTTATCATATGTAACAAGATGGGATGTTTTGATGCCTGTTGTAATTAGAAACCCACCTACACCAGACTTTCACTTTAACAGTTTTCCTACTTTATTTAAAAGAAAACCCTGTGAACTGTCCTTCATCTTGTGTATACCATTTCCCTGGAACTTGTACATTGAGAGTTACTCAGTCTAAAATCTGTTTTAAAACTTAGATTTTTCCCAAACAACTTTATTGATTCCACCGTCAGTAAAACTGTTCAATAACTACACATATTCAGCTCACTGAACTGTAACATACTGAAACTACAGTTAACGATCTCTGTACCATACACAGGCTTACACTCATGAATCTTGAAAAGGAAACTATACATTATAATCAACAGTCTATCCACAAGTTCACCTTTAGTGTGTTCAGACCTTTATTGAGAATTTAGAATTTTTTCAGGTTTAAAGATTGTATTCTGTTTCTCAACAGTTAAAATAATCATTGCATTCAACTTACTAGGTTTGTTTTACCTCCAAAAATATAAAAAATCATTAATTTGTCAATTTATTGGTTTTTCAATACTTATACTGTCAGTTAAGAATGCTTTAAAAGTTGTTTGTAAAAGCAGATTTTATCATGTAAAGTTCTTAGTTAAAAGAACATGGTAAGGGTATCTAGAAATCATATCTTTAATTTTTAAGCTCGTGAAAATATATGTAGTTATCTGGCAGCTGTTATTAGACTTTGTTTTGTAGATCTGTCACAGTTTAGAATTTCCAATTACATGTGTTGTAGCATTTGAAATTATCAGCTTGACATCATCAACATGCAGTAGTATGAAACACCATTAAATATGCTTGTTGTATAGACTTGTTCTTATGAATTTTAAATGGCCAATGAATTAAACTTTGTTGAGCCAACATGTGTAATTCAGTAACTCTTGAAAATTACAGACTTCATGGATTCTCTGTGGTGGTATATTAAAGGTGAAATAAGTATATTATCAAATGGTGCTGTTACCAGTACTGCTGATTTTTAAAATTTTTAAATTTGAGTATTTAGAAAGGATTAGCTACTGATAAGACTCAAATCAAGTCTATAACTGGATCAAATTTCAAAGTAAAACATGAAGTGGAAATGAGCAGTATGATGACCACACCCACTTTGAGGTTGCACTGCATCTAAAACCACCAAGAGTTACAATGTTATTCCACCCATTCCTACTTCTTAATTTTTGTATTTAAAATTTCTTTACACTTCTCTCATAAGTTGTTTTGGTACGAAGTATCGAGAGTGACTGGGCTCTAGGCCTATTTTTCCTGTACTTTTACTGAAAGCTATCTCTCGACATTTCCTGGTTTTTGCTGATATCTTCAATATAGTTTTTCTTCCAATTAGCTAGGGCGGCAGCCTTTTCTTTCGCTAGGGTTATTAGGTTGATTTAATCTAGATGACTATGTCAGTGTGTGCTTTAGGAACATGTTTTAGCATAAAAGTATAACCTATGTACTTTGTTGCTCCTTTACAGGATGTGGCTTGTTTATAAAGGTAACCTTCCCTCTGACTTGTCCTCCAATTTTAAACTTAACTTCAAAATCCTCTTTAATTAATGGAGCCTCTAAATTAGAAAACAACAAAAAATTTTTTTTCAATTTTGTAGTTCACACATTTCATTTTATACTTTCAGCACATAGCCTCTTAACAACAATATAGGGTTATACTTTTATTGCTAAGCATTGTCACCAAAATGCACTGGCTTTTCTATATATTAAAAGTTATAAGGAACCACTTCCTTTCTATGTGGTTTTTCGCTAGATTGCCTCATTAAAAAGATGCACATGTCTCTCTGTGATTTTTATCTATAATATGTAATATAAGTAACCACTTCTTTCCTATGTGGTTTTTTGCTAGCTTGCAGATAAGTAACAATATCCAGGTGCACACCCTCAGGGTCCACTTAGTATGAGTGCAAAATTTCAGGTTTCTAGG